CCCCTTCTCATGCTCCTCCTCCTCCTCCTCCTGCTCCTCCTCCTCCTCCTGCGGGCCCCAAGGTCCGAGGAGGAAAAGGTAATTACCTATGCCGCCACCCGTCCCTCGATGTTTCCCTTCTTGCGCCTCCCGGGAGGCTCTCTTCGCCGCCGCTGGATTCGCGGCGAATTTCTGGTCAGAGCGCACCTCAGGAGAGGTCCGGGGAGTAGCGGTACAGTCGGGGCGCTGAAGAAGGAACCCGTTTCGTTGGGGAGGGGTTTCGTGTTTCTTGATTGTTTCACAGTTTGCCTCAGGTGTTCCCCAGGTGTTCATGGGAAATCGAAGGTCCTTTCTGGAAAAAGGGGCCTCGTTCCTTACTTGGGGTTCCTTAAGGTCAACGCCCCCGATCGTCGAAAGCGAGGCGGCAGCAGCGGCTTGCGCGCCTCATGGTGTCCCAAATGTGGCCCCCCCTCGGGCCGCGCACCGAAGGTCACTCTGGCCAAGGGGCACGCTTTGCGTACAGCCGAGCGTGCCCATGTCCACTCGGCGGTTCGAAGACGGGGCCCTGACCGAAGAGCAAGTATGAAGTCGGGCCTGTCCCTCTACAGAAGGAATACTCAAAAACAGTCAAAACATAGTCTGGGGTCGATTTGTTGACCATGTCTGACCATGTGTGAGTATTTGTTGGCTATTTTCTAATTTTTCGTCCAAAATCCGCCTGTAGGGGGACATGCCCGACCGAAAGCAAGCAACGGCATGAACTTGAACTGTTGGAGCTCCGCGCAGATTTCTTGAATCGGCGCTGGACCCCCCTGGCGGCGCCTCCGGCGCCACCCCTGGTGCGCTCCGCGCGCCAGGGAGGGGGGCCCGTGCGGATCCAAGAAATCGCGCGAACCTCCAAAAGTGTATGTATATTTTGTTGTTTGTTCCTCTACCTGAGAGATGGGGGTCTAAGGATAGGAAGGCACCGAACGCGTTCCACTACTCGCACAATGCCTGCTCGCAGACGTCCGAAAAACACATGCTTGCCTCGATGTAATGCATCGTGCATCCCCTGCGGTGGCTGGATTCAGGCCGTTGCGAGTAGTTACTGTTTGCGAGTAGTGGGGCGAGCTTGTCTAATTAGGAAGGGATCCCAGGGTGCCCCATCCTTTGAACCACCGGTCTACCGCTTCTGGGTCGTACCCAGGGATCTCGAGGAGTGGGTGGATGGCTTGCGCGGGGGAGGAGAGGTGCCGATGCGAGGCCGCCAGCCCCCGCCCCTCGCCTCCTCTACCACGGCTGGGGTCGCCTCGGGAAGCCCGTCAGGGCGCACCCCAGGAAAGGTCCGCAGAGTCGCGGTGTGGACGTCTTGTATGCCCGGGGGGGGAGGGGGGGGAGGTCACGGGCGTGATCCGCAGGGGGTCTCCAGTTTTGTGGTCTCCCTCCCTTGTTTCTCCTGCTCCTCCCCCTCAGTCTCCTCCTCCTCCTCCTGCCGTGGTCGTATCGTGGTCGTCGTCGTCCTCCTTGTCGGGTGCCGCGGAGAAATAGTTATTGCCCATTCTTGGTGGGACCCCAGTCTGTCAATAAGCGCGTCGAACTGATAGATAGCTTCCACTATTGGGGGGCTTCTAAAGACCTACCTCAGTTATGACGAACGGAAATGCGTGTTTATACAGCCAAAGCGCGCAGCAATTCAGGATGAGCAATTTTCCAAGGGTGCCATTGTATCCTTCCCCATTCAGCCCATCCTTGGCCACTTTCGCTGGCCGCGTCCCGAAGGAAAATCGTCAACAGGGTCTTCCACGGCCTTTGCTTCCTTCGGGTGCATCACCGCGAGCACTCAAACCAACGGGCTCGCATCGGTGCCCTGGACCTCTTGGACGTGACGCCCCTATCTATCTATACATATATATATATATATACATATATACATACACATAAACACATCAAAAACTCGATGGGCATTCTGGGGCATCAGGGTTGGGCTTCCAGTGGAAGGTTTTCTTTGTTTTCGAGGGCCCCTCAGCGAGAGCCCCCGGGGCGCGACCCCGCGGCGGCGGCTGTGGACGTCTCCTGGCGGCGCGCGAGGGCAGTGCGGTCGCCAGCGGCGTGCAGCTCGCTGGCGGACCCCGGGAGCGGCCGAACGACCCGGGGCGACTTCAGGGCGCACGTCGATCCGATTTTGGAGGGCCCAAGTCCATGTGTTTCTCCTCCTCCTCCTCCTCCTCCTCCTCCTCCTCCTCCTCCTCCTCCTCTCTCCCTTCCTCTCCTCCTCCTCCTCCTCCTCCTCCTCCTCCTCCTCCTCCTCCTCCTCCTCCTCCTCCTCCCCTCATCCTCCTCCTCATCCTGCTCCTCCTCCTCCTCTTGCTCTTCCCTCCTCCTCCTCCTCCTCCTCCTCCTCCTTCTCCTCCTCCTCCTCCTCCCCCATCCCCCTCCTCCTCCTCATCATCATCCTGCGTTGGGAGCGCATGGCGCTTCTATTGGGGCTTCCCAGATGGGGTCCGAGCGGATGGGGTCGGAGGATCAAGCCGCATCGCCGATGCGGCTCGATGTGGAGCCCGACGTTCTCCACGCCGATGGCGCCGAAGCATCGCCGACGTCGCCGATGCATCGCCAATGCATCGGTGATATATCGCCGATGTATCGGCGATGCGGCGCGATCCTCCGACCTCTTCTACTCGGACCCCATCTTGGAGGCCTCTATTCATCAAGACGAGTATCCGGGCCGATGCCAAATACTGTTCCCACGTTCTAACCACAAGCGTCTATGGACACATTGGGTGGCGCTATTTGTGCAGACGCATTCGGGAGGGATACATCTATAGAATACGCGGCCGTCGCGTTCGGCGTAGTGCAAGGTCGGGGAAAGGGTAGATCCGTCTACGGTATGCTCCTGTTCTAAAGCAGGTCCCACATGGTACTCCAAATCCGGTCGGCTCGGTTCGAGCTCGGTTCCGCCGGCCCGGTGCCTCCGTGGCGCTGTCGCACGTCCTGGCGCGGACGTGTCGGCTCGTGCCTTCGGACGTTCCGTGTGTCTTCTTCAGCATTTTGTTCTGACACTTCGGGGCCCGGGGTGGTGTCCATCAGCTGCGCCTCGTCGAGGGCGTTCTGGGGGTGCCAGAATCGTCCCGACCTGCGGGGCCCAAGAATATACACCACCACCTCCCCCACCCCCTCCCTCTCCCCGGAAAGGGGAGAGGAAGAGGAGGGTAGAGGAGGGAGGAGGAGTCGACGTTTGTGGTGTGTATTCGTGCGGCCGCCGGAGAGCTCGATCTCAGTGTCCTGGCGATCCGATGTGGCCGGACGCTTAGACCTGGCGCTGCCGTGCGCCCTGGCGCGGGCGGTCCGCTTCGGTTTTTGATGCCGTGCCTGTGCGGCTGGGGTCCAGCGCACCTTTCGGTTCGATTGCGATTTTCCAATTCGATAGTAAGTAAATGTTCACCTGCAGGAACAGGGGAGGGAGGGGGACAGGGTTAGGACGAGGATACAGCCGTTCCGGAACGCTCTCAGAAGGCCGCGGCGCCCAAGACATCCTCCAGAGCCGCCGGATCTCAGAGACTCCTCAATTCATCCTCATTTGAATGTGTCCTTGTCTTGGTTTCTGGCGTTGGCGAGCGACTCCTTCGACCTGCATGCGTCGTCCCGAGTAAAGCGACGTCGCGCGCCACTTCTCAGAGGATATGCTTTCCAGAATATGCTGCCGCGTTCGCCGCTCGTAGCGTCAAAGTTCTGCTCTTCGGGGCGTCATCCTGATTGCATGAATTCTGGGGATTCGCGTGACCCCACCAGCCAATCCAGTAGTGCATTTACATGTTTTGTCCCATCGATTGAACTGCGCATAACTTTCCTTTCAAAGCATGGTCTCGTCTGCCCCTGATGGGACCGCACCGCACCACCAGCCCGTCCAGAATCAACCCATGAGAGTTGACGAGAGAAAGGATGAAGATAGACGTGTAGTGAAACAAAGGGGGCAACAGGGGCGAATTGAGATATCTCTGGGAGCTAGGGGTGGAAGATCAGGAAAGAGTCGCGATAGGGGAAACATGAGGAAGGGTGTCGATCGGATGAGAAGCGGGGGTGCCCTTTTCGAACCCTGGGGTGGTGACGAGCACCCAAGGGGCCGCGATCCCAAACTCGTTCAGGAAAGCTCGGCCGCTTCGGAACGCCGAGCTTTGGCCGCTTGGGCCTCAGCCCTGAAATTGTTCTACAACCAGGTCTAGAATCTGTGTTTGAGGTTGAGGGCCGCGAGGTTTCGAACCAGGCCTAGAGTCTTCGAGCGACGTTGTCCCGATGTTCTCTTGTGGCTATTTGTTCTCCTCATCCTCTCCATGTTCACGTTCCTCCAGGTTCTAATTTTCGTTCAGTTGTTCCTGATGTACAACTCGTGGGAATTGTTCTACAGCTATATGATGAACAATCGTTCATCATGTTTGCGTCTTTGGAGCCGTCTTCGGGTCCTCTTGGGCCGTCTTGAGGCCATCTCGGACGAGCGTTCTTGGGCTGTCTCGGGGCCCCTGGACCTCCCATGGGGCGCTCCTGGGACTTTCGTGGGGGCCTGGAAACCCGCGCCCGTGAGTTCCAGCATCTCTCTTTTGCGACCTTGTTGGGGACCGCCCAAGGCAGTTACTTGTCTTCTGGCACCTGAGAGGCGCGCCCGGCGCGCGCGAAGTAGCAATGTACAACTATCATGATGCTTTGATTAGAGGTCCAAGAATCCAGCACGCTTTTAGGCCGCTGTGCCGGCAAATGTAGCGTTCCTTGTAGTAGTAGCTTGATTGTAGTGGGGGGGGATGCGGGGGGGGGCGGGGGGGGCGAACCTTGGCTGGCCGCTCCGCTCACGAGTCGAAGAAGGAAAAACGCCACAAACATAAACTTGTTGTCGCTCCGCGCGGATTTCTTGGATCTGCGCTGGAGCACGCCAGGGGCGGCGCCGGAGGCGCCGCCAGAGGGGCCCAACGCAGATCTAAGAAATCCGCGAGAAGCGCCAAAAGTTTATGTTTATGCCGTTGTTCGTTCCTCTAACAAGGCCTCCCCCTGAGGACGGGGTCCGGCTCGCGAGCGGCGCCGTGATGCCGGTGGTGGGCTTCGGGACGTACAAGCTGACGGAGGTCGCCGTGAAGCAAGCGGGTCCCGAGAGAAGCGGGTCGTTTTTTCGTCTGGCTCTCTCGCGGGGCAAGTTGGGCCGCGGGGCCGCCAAAAGGCGGTTCGGGATGAATACCCATCATTCGTTGAAAGTAAGAACTGTTGGATCCCCAGGTTCCAATCTACTTTAAGCGCCTTCCTACTTCAATGATCGAGTGGCTTCCCCTCGTCCCTCCTCCTCAGGGCGCGGATGGGGCCCAATCTGCTTTCAAAGTTTTCCCACATGTTTCTTCCTACTTCTTCCGACCGATGGGTAGTGCGTCCCGAGGGAGGGTCCCGGGATCCAGGGCCAGCTTCCCTCGGGGCCCGTGTCTTGCATGCCAGTGGAGGCTGACGTGGTGGACCCCGTGGTCAAGGCTCGGGAGAAAGGAAGTGGGAGCAGGAAGGATCAGAACCCTCGGACCTATCCCGATTCCTCGAGGACGAAGCAGCTGAGTGGACGTGAGCGTTCGGAGGTCGACGCGGAGTTCTTAAGTCGGCGCTGGGCCCTCGCGCGCCAGGGACGGTGGTCCAGCGGCGATCTTGGAAGTCCGCGCGGACATCCGAAAGTTCATTTGCATGCTGATTATTATTCATCTGATCGCCAGCTGGTGGGCCAGGGTTCCTTAGCGCCACAAGCCTACCCCCTCGGAGGCGGGGGTAGGTGCCGCGATACCCGACGTTCCCAGTTGGAGGGCGTGGCTATGGCTATGGCTTTCCCGGTGGGGCTGTGGCTTTCCCAGTGGGGCTGTGGCTTTCCAGTGGATCTTTCCCGTCGGGTCGGGCAGCGGGGCTATGGCTTTCCCAGTGGGGATGGAGGTACGTCTATCGATGCGGAAGGAATGGGGACGAAGGCGAGCACCTGTCCATGCCCATTTCAAACAAGACTCACTGCCGGTGTCGCCGCGGACGATGTCCATCTGAGACAACCCGGCGCTTACCCAACGGCGGACGCAGTCGGTTCTGGACAGCGCCTGTTGTTGGGCATCGTCCCCATGTTCTCCCGTCCACACTGCGAGCGTGCCAAAAGGCGTTGAAGGCCGGGTACCGCCTGGTCGACACCGCGCAGGTCTTCGGGGGACGTCAGCTATACACCGACACCCATTTTGGTCAGGGCAATATTGGGACAAGGATTGGCCTGGTCAAGATCATCACATCGTTCCAGAGCGTTCCGACACGCTGTCAGAGCGTTTCAGAACGCTTTGGAACGGACGCGGCACCCGAACCACATGCTCCAGATCCGCTAGTTCTCAAACATTGCCGAATTATCATGTTCCCATGTTTTCTTCTGACCGTCGCCTCATTGGACTGGTGTCGGCGTGTAGTTGGTATTGTGCCGAGGTCTACGAGAACGAGAGGGGCGTCGGCGCTGCTATTCGCAAGTCGGGCGTGCCCCGCGAGAGCGTTTTCATAGAGACGAAAGTGTGGCGCTCGAGCCATGGCTACGACCGGACCATGGCCGCGTTCAAGCAGTCCTTGAGGAGATTGGACGTCGATTATATTGACCTCTATTCGGGGCGACCAAGACGACAGTGGCGACCAACAGACCGAGGTGCGGCATAACTGGCTCTAGCCGTGAGAGAGAGGGACAAGTACACTTGCGCATGGGTCTCGTTCCCTGCCCCCTCTGGGCCGCTCTGTCTGGATGGACGCGGAGTGCCGAATTTGCCCCCGTTTCCCTTCCCGACTGGATTTGCAAGGAGGGGCCCTCCTCCCCACCTTGGAAGATTTCTCCGAAGGGCTTAGGCGACCCGTCCTCCTCCTCCACCTCCTCCTCCTCCTCCTCCTCCTTCTCCTCCGCCCTCCTCCTCCTCCTCCTCCTCCTCCTCCTCCTCCTCCTCCTCCTCCTCCTCCTCCTCCTCCCCTCCTCCTCCTCCTCCTCCTCCTCCATCCCCCTCCTCCTCCTCCTCCTCCCCCTCCTCCTCCTCCTCCTCCTCCTCCTCCTCCGCCTCCTCCTCCTCCTCCTCCTCCTCCTCCTCCTCCTCCTCCTCCTCCTTCTCCTCCCCCCCTCCTCTCCTCCTCCTCCTCCTCCTCCTCCTCCTCCTCCTCCTCCTCCTTCCTCCTCCTCCTCCTCCTCCTCCTCCTCCGCTTCCTCGGGTCGCCTACGGCCCCGGGGGAAACCGTGCACCCCACCTCCCTCCTCCCCCTGCCCCCCCCCCGCTCCCCGCTGGGGCGGGGGAGCCTCTCTCCCCCAGGGCAGCCCCACCGCTTCCCTCGCGGGCCGATGGCTTCTGCGCTCGCTCTCCAGAGAGCCCCCCATTCAGCGGCTCTGCCCACGCCACGTCTGGTGGGGAGGCGCGGGGGTCGCCGACGACGCGGACGACGACGACAACAACGACGACGACGACGACGACGACGACGACGAGGACGAGGACGAGGACGAGGACGACGACGACGACGACGACGCAGACTCAGCGGTCGCGCGAGCCGGTCGGGCAAGGCAGGGTGGCTGCAGAGCTGAACTGTGCTCCGAGGGGCGAGGCGGAGGCGGGGGGCGGCCGCGGAGGAAGGGAGAAGGAACGCGGCCCCCTCGGGCCGTGCAGGTCTTGGAGCGGGGCGTGCCGCGGCCCAGGCTGAAGGCGGAGTGCTGCAAGCGGGGGCGTGGTCGACTTCCGGGATCGAGCATCGATCGAGGACAGAAGACTGAAGGGTCGAGCATCGAGCTCGGCCGAGGATCGAGGATGGATTGAGGATCGATGCAGGATCGCCGACCCCATCTGAGAAGCCTAGAGCCCAGAGCGCAGCCGCTGCCCCTGACCACCACGGGGCGTTCAGGAAGGGGGCCGTGCAGGCGTGCGCAGCCGTGGCAGGGGTCCTCGGGTCACGGAGCGGGCGGCCGGGCCGCAACTCCGAGGCAGCTCGGCCGCCGCTGAGGGCAGCCTCGGGATCTACCAGCGGCTCGAGAGGCTCGTGGCACCCCGGGCCCCGAGGGGCACTCCGAGGGAGGCCTCGGCACTCCGCGCAGCCAAGGCGACGAAACGAGGCCCAAGTTGGGTTCGGGAAGGGGCTCGGGCCCGCGGGCTGGTTCCTTGGTCGAGGTGGCCGGGGCTCGCGGAGGCCGGAAAAGACCATTCGTGTGCCTTGCGTGGCGGTCCCTGCGGTAGCATGGTGGCTGTGCCCGCGGCGTCGCGCAGGGGTTGGCCGGGCGAAAGGGGGGGGAGGGGGCCTTCCGAGAAGGCACCCCGCTTCTCAGGAGCACTCCCTCCGGGAGACGTCGAGCACAGCGAAGAGGTCAGAGGTCCCGCAGGAGACGGCGACAGAGGCTCGTCGTCAGAGCGTCAAGGTAGAGTTTGGCATCAAGCATACGCCTTGGGAGAAACGCTTCCTGTATGCTGAGAACCCCCACTAAGGGGGCAATCCCTTCGAAGAAGCACCCATTGCCCCTCTACGTGGCTGCCGCCGTCGCCTCACTCTGCAACCTTGTGCTGCCCCCCTGAGATATAAAGATGAAAAAAGTGCCCTCTGGATTCCATGCGTTTTGGGCCGCCCTGATCAATGTGATTCATTGGCCGGGCTGCAAGACTGGCTGGCCGCTGCCCAGGGGTGCAACGGCTCCAGCTGACTGGACGCCAAAGATGCGCGACACTGGCACCTGGCGGGCGATGGAGGATCTCTACGAGGCCGCCTCCTCCTCCTCCGCCTCCGCCTCCGCCTCGTCCTCCCTCGGTCTCAGCACGACGAACGCCATTCTTGAAGGAAGCGAGACCTGCAGGTTGTTGTTTCGCCGTTTTCGGCTTACAGGTGTCTTTCCCAGGCCGTTGGGGCGTCTAACAATCACTCAGGATGAAACACTGGTCCTGGGGAAAATGCTTTGGGGGTTCGAGCCCACCTCCACCAGGAACCACTGCCCTCGCCCCAATCTTCCCATTCGCCTCCTTCCTCCTTCCATTACTCCTCCAGTCCATCCCCTGTCTTTCGTCCACCTCTGTGCGAGGCTGGAAAGGTGAAGGCGATCGGCGTCACCAACTATTCCGTCCGGCACCTCAAGCAGCTGCTGAAGACTTGCCGCGTGAAGCCCATGGTGAACCAGGTAGAGTTCCACCCCCGCCTGGTGCAGACGGAGCTCCTGGAGTTCTGCGCCGAGCATGGCATCAGCGTCCAGGCCTACGCCTCGCTGGGCTCGGGAGACGCGAAGCAGGCAGTCAGCGGACGAAGAACGGTATAAAACAATGTTTGACCGTCACTGGGGGGCGCTTGACGGGAGGCGGTTGGAAAGGTTGTACCCCGACGTTCCACCGTGGGGGCATAGATTGTCCATCTGCCCCGGGACGGGCGTCCCCGGCGGCGAAGAAGTTGATGTGTTGTTGTTGTTCTTCGCCCGTCAAGGCAGAGAGTTTCTTCGCCTTCCCGGAGGTGCAGGCCGCGGCTGCCGCGCACGGCATGACTCCAGCACAGGTGTTGTTGAGGTGGGCTACGCAGAAGGGTTGCCACGTGGTGCCCAAGTCGTCAAATCCCAAGAGGATCAAGGAGAATGCCGACATCTTCGGCGCGAAGCTGACCAAGAGCGAGATGAAGGCCATCGACGCCCTGCACACAGGGACGAGGTATGCCTGGAAGGGCTTAGATCCTGACACCATCAAGTGACAGCCGCGTGTCGCATGTCGTGCTGAGCAGTGTTGTTGACAGTTGTTCTTAGGTTTACTCTCATACAGATGACAATCGGCGTACATTTCGATTGGCTGCAACAGTCTGCCTTGGGAAGGGCTTGCAGCGAGTGGCTGCGAGTCGTGGGGCGCGCAGACTAGCTGTGCAGGCCATCAGGGGAAGAGCTAGCGACGGAGGAAAAATAGCGCCCGAGATGGAGGCTCCCCAGGTATGCCGGAGAGACTCCGAGAGGTGCATCGGGGGCTCCCGTAAAGGAGCCCCATCACGGTCGCAAAAGTCAGAGGAGCAAGAAGTCATGATGACAATACGGTCTAACCTTTTCCAGAAGTCATATTGTTCCGCCCGGGTTCCAGAAATAAGGGCCGCTAGATATTCGGGAAATCCTTGAACTTAGGCTGATCCAACTTCAGCATGCCATCAGTTGCGCCCTAATGACTAGAACTTTAGTATGCTCGCCACCGTCTCGCAAATGATGCTAATCAAGATTTGATGGCAGTATTCCTGCTCGTTCCCTAGTGGGATCCGAGGTCGGAGACATGTTCCAAGACGCCCGAATTTGCTGATGGTCACGCTTTTCGGCGTGCGCTCTTTGACAGAAGTGGTCCCGCGAGCAAGGTCTCCTTGCCCGAGAGGGGGGGGGGGGGCAGAACATTGGCGTGCAACAGGGCGTGCGTGGGCTCGTGCAAATGGTTTTCTGGAGGACCGTCGGCAGCCGAGCCACCCTCAGCTCCCGATGCAACAGGATCTCAGCTTGGCCCACGCGCTTGCAGATCTCAAGCGTCCAAAGACAGGGCGCCTTTCTTGTCGAGCCCAGCAGCTACGCGGTCCGCGGGGCTGTCACGAATCGCCGACGGCCAAGCATTGCCTAAGAGGTGCCGAGGTCGTCCTGATGAGGATTCAAGAAGACCTCGAGAGGTCCTCACGAGGAGGAAAGTGTGCAACTATGTAAGGACTTGGTACGACTCCCGCATCATCGCCTCTTCGGCCTTGAGAGTTATAGAGTGTCCAGCTGCTCGCAGGACGCGCCCAGAGGGCCCCAAGAGGGTCTGCAAGAGGCATTCAAGATGCACACGTCCATCAATGTTCTATGTGTTGTCGTGTGGCTTTGGCATCCTTGCCGTGTCGGCTGCAGAGTACTGCTACACTTGTATGTACCCTCCATCTTGGGAGGCAGCCGTGGCTCCATCTCCGCAGGTTCAGCACGATGTCCCCCGAAAAGACAATGCCCAGTCGCTGCCCATCTGTCTCCCCGCAGGTGGTCAAGGGCGGCCACAGCTTTAGACTGCAAGAGTGCACAAGCTTTAAGTCGGACCTGTCCCTCTACAGGAGGAATATTGAAAAATAGTCAAACAATTATCAGGGGACGATGCTTGACTATATTTGGGTATTTCCGGTTATTTTTCTGGTATGTTTCATTTTCGTCCAAAGTCCGCTTGTAGGGGGACACGCCCGACCTAACACAAGCTGGACGTGGATAGCACCACACTGGCAACCAGGCGCCAAACCTCGCCAGCGAGGCCAGCGACAGCAGGGCGGCCGACGAAAGCGCTGGGACGACGACATGATCACGTGCCTGCCACAGCGCAGACCCGACCTGCATCTGGGGCCCACCCCTACCACTGCGAAGGCCCAATCAAACGACCAGTTTTGGGGTCGCACGGCCCAAGACAGCCTCACTTCGGCAACGTTCGAACTACAGTACGCAGACACTGGATGGCGACACTTCCAACGCACGCCGACATCGACAATCAGAGCTTCCTCCTGCCCCCATCGGTCATGACTTTGGTTATGCCCATGGTTCCGATGTACACTTGTGTTTGGTCACATGGCCTCACCCATCTGGTCATGGTCGGGCCCCAGACGGTTGTCCGCAGCGGTGATCGGCTCGTCCGTGATTCGAGGAGGTTCCCGATCTATCCCCGCCCGAACGTATCTTCATCTTGTTCTCTTCCCACGAAGCTTGGTCGAACTCGAACAGGCCACGACATCCGATGTCGGGGCCCTCCCCCTTGGCATCGCTCGGACGTGTGCATTGTTCTTCCTTCGGCGAGGATCATCGAGGAGCATCCTTGATCATGTGGCGAAAGAACCACGCACACGAAGCCCAAGAAAAGCACAGGGAATGAACGTCCGAGCGATGGCCAGCCCCCTCGCCGCCCCGAAAGAGCGGCCCCGCGGGCCCTTCTTCCAGGGGCGCGCCCCGGCCAGGATCTCGGAGCGCATCCAGACGCGGCGACGAGGACGCCCCGCGCGGCCCAGAGAGAGCCAAAGGCCACCCTCGCATTAAGTCGGGCTTGTCCCTCCACAGGAGGAATATCAAAAATAGTCAACAGATAGTCTGGGGACAATTGTTTAACCATGTTTGAGTTTGTTTTGAATCTTTTGGGAGTATTCTTTATTTCTCGTCGAAAAATTTGCCTGTGTGGGGGAGAGGCCCGACTTGACCCTCGCACCGCGATGATCTCCCATCCTCGTGGGGCGCCCGAGTTCTCCAGGGCAGCTCGGGTCCGGGGCAGCTCGGGTTCGGACTCGCGAAAAACGGACCCGAGTCAGCCCTGACCCGAGTTGCCCCTGATGATTCGTGGCTCTGGACGCCCGCATTATGCGGGGCAGCTCGGGTCCGGGGCACCTCGGGTTCGGACTCGCGAAAAACGGACCCGAGTCAGCCCTGACCCGAGTTACCCTTGATGACTTGGGGCTCTGATCTCGCCCCTCCCCCGCGCATGGCACGACGACGGCCGCGCCCGGCCGTTCGCCCCCCGCGAGGCCAGCTCCGCGAGGAGCTCGGCAGCGCCGTGGCCGCGGCCGGGCGGCCTCTCGCGAGGCCGGGGGTTCCCGCGCCCGGGCAAGGGTCAAACAGTGGCGAAGCGTCCTGGCTCGCCTATAGGCCTACCAAAGAATGTTCTAAGAACCTTTTGGGGTCTGCGCGAAATGCTCTTAGAACATTTCCGGCTGACACTGTTTTGTTGTAGCACATCGGTTTATGTTATGGGAACCGTGCTTTTGTTATTAGAACACTTTGGGGGCTCTAGGAACACGCCGTGGTAGGCCTATAGGAATGCCGGGGTGGTCGGTCCCTGCTCAAGAGGGGGGGGCGGCTCCGTCCGGTGCAGTCGCTGAAGGACGTCGTCGTCCTCGTCGCCGTCGCCGTCGCCGTTGTCGCCGCGCGCCGGGCCAGTCGAGCCGAGCCGCCAGCTTTCCTCTGCCGAGCCGCCTTTGCCCGAGCCGTCTGCCACGTCAGGGCCGTGTGAGGCCCGTCCCCCTCCTCCCCCCCAGGGATCCGAGGATGTGTTGTTTCAATGCGGGCGTAGTTCCCCGATTTCGGCTTCCGGGGCCCGTTCTCGGGCCGGGGAACCATCAAAAATGGATCCGGGTTGAAGAACCATTCCTGGGGAAGGGGTCGGTGCCTCTGGGGCCGCGGATTGAAAAATCAGATCGGCGGATGTCTGGGCTCCGTCGCCTCGCTCCCCCTCCTGCTCCTTTCTCCTCTTTCCTCCTCCGTCCTCCTCTGACCTCCTCCGTCCTCCTCCTCCTCCTCCTCCTCCTCCGTAGCCGTTTTTGGTTCAAGATACTCGATTCCTCATGGAATCGCACGGATGCCGCTAGTCCGCGGCCAGTCTTCGATCGGGACGCCTCCCTCCTCTCCGTCCCGGCGGGCGTGGCGGCGGGAGCAGCTCGAATGGTGAGGGTTGGGTGTGCAAGTGCGGGTACTAACCAATTTCGGGGAGCGCGACAAGTGCCGCAAGGCCGGGTGCAACGGCGTCAATTTGTCGGGTTCGCAGCCAACGCGTGCCAAGGGCAGCTTTCGTTCGCCTCCTGGCGCTGCTTTGGCCAATTGCGCGGGGCCTTCTCGTCACGCCGCCGGCGCAGGCGGCTGCGCGGGCAACTCGGGCCGGAGGAAATGGGGGGATAGGGAAAGTGGGGCTTACGAAATCTGCTACCTGCAGCTGGTTTCGGCCCCGCCGTGGGGTCCAGTCTTCGATACATGGGCACCTCTGGCGCCAGGAGGCGCCAGGAAAATGCGCTACGTGAGATGATTCTCAACCCCCCCCCTTTGCTTTCCCCCCCCTTTCGCCCGGCCCGAGCAACACCGAAGGAGGAGGGCGGCCAAATCATGAGGCCGGCTCCTCCTCGTGGCGCCCAGACGTCAAGCTCAGCGACGAGACGCAGGCCTGGTGTGTCAGGCTGCCCGAGGCCGAGAACGAGATGGCAAGCCGCCTCTTCCCCGCCACCGCTCGGGTCGAGCTGGCCAGCTCGGTGGTTCGCCAGCCAGCCGCTGGGTGGGTCCAGCTGAGCCAAGAGTGTCAAGTTCGCGCAGCTGCAGGCCGACGAGAAGGCGAGGCAGGTGCAGACGGCGGAGGCCGCGCTTGCGCAGGCGAGGACTGCGCTAGGCGGCCACGGGGCCCGACGGCAGAGCGCAGGCGAGAGATAGGCGCCACAGTTGGGCCGCGGTTGCGCGGCAGCCCCACCGCCGGCGCAGGGCAGACAAGCCCCCGCACCCACGGCGCAGGGCAGCCCAGGTGCCTACATCTGCGGCGCAGGGCAGCCCAACCTTGCCACCTATCTGCGGTTCGGCCAGAGGAGGAGGAGGAGGAGGAGGAGGAGGAGGAGGAGGAGGAGGAGGAAAACGAAAAGGAGGAGGGAAGAGGAGGAGGAAAAGGAGGAGGAGGAGAAGGAGGAGGCGGCGGCGGCGGCGGCGGCCTGTTGAGTGGACCCGTCGCGGCATGGACGCGCTTCCTGCAGCAAGCCGAGAGCGAGCGGGTGGACATCTACCCGTCGCCAGTCGGCACTTCGGCCGCACCGAAAAAGCGGCCACCAAGGGGGCGCAGCGTGGCCACGTGCGTGACAGCAGGTCGCCTCGCATTTCCGCCCTCCCAGGCGAGCAAACAGTTCGGCAGCTACGCGATCAAAGCTCTTGCGGAGGAGGGTTTCGTCATGATCGCGGCTGTGCCGATGGTGTTCGTACATCACGCGTTGGA